AGGTAAAGCACAACTTTTCGACTTTCACCAGAGAGATATTTTAAAGATATCCATGTGAACTTGAAAAAAAATGGTTTGGTAAAAATAAATAAAACCTTCCTCTTTGTATTCCAGCCAGAGCATTGGCGGAATGAAGTACTACACAATAAAAAAATAAAGTGACAATAGCTGTTTATCTCTTTGCCTTGTAGAAAAGATATCCCATATAAAGAAAAAAATAAATAAACTAACCAGATTCTATCTACAAAACTGAGATAGAGCTGCAAGCATTTATTTCATTTACGCTCAAAACAAGATTTATTTTAAGTACTATTAAAGAGGACATATTATAGCCCTTTTCAAACAGTCCCCTGTGGTCTAAATGAAACATCTGTGCTGTGCTTCGGTCAAAATATAACATGAATCAAGCACCAGAGGAGGTTTGTGACCCTGTATAACCAGCTCTCTCAGAACGCTCCGGTTTGGTGTGTGTGTCTCTTTAAATGCAATGAGCCGCCTTGAGTTTTCCTGGTAGACATCAATCCTCTGTAGAAAGACTTAAAATGGCAGACCTGCGCAAAAGTTTTGTTCTAGGCTGGGGATGGAGTCCATGGGTGGAGATATCAGGGGTAGGGAGGGTATTCTTTTTTTTTTACCAGAATCCAGCTTTTGACATCACAAGCTGAGAAAATTTGAAACGGAGCATTATTCTCTGTCTTGTAAGACTTATGCAGACTACAAACAAAGGACGGGATGGATTTATTTCATATTTTGTGGGTCAGTAGACTCTCAGGTTACCCAAATATATGTTCAAAACACTGTACAAGTGGATTTGTCATAAAATGTCCCCTTTAAAAATACTAAACTAATTAACATCTGTAAATATTTAGCTTTCAATAATCAACATTTTCTTATAAAATGAATTTGGTATCATTTACCTTAACCACAATAAACATGTGCATTCGAGACATACACTGTCCTGCTGAGCACTTTAATGCATATTTTTCTGCTGCTCAGACAAATCCAATAAATACACTTATCTGCACTGGAAAAAGCTAAAACTGAGTCTTGGGTAAAAATTTGAATGAATACTTTTTTGTGTTATATTATGATGTTGTCTCAAGTGAAATAAGCAAGGTAAAGGAGAGACCATGTTTTGGTCTTTTTATGGGATCTGTTAACAATACATGATAAAACAATGACTTTAATAACCAAAAGCTTGATCAATATGTTTTAGGGCAACCTGAGGTCGATCAAGGCAAAGGGAAGTCTGGACTCTCTGGGTATTACTACCAGGGTGTGTGGCGATCACTAGGTGGCACCAAAGTCCACCAATTCAACAACTCCTCTGCCATCAGTCAGTGTCTGAAAGGAAAGGTGGTCCACATGTATGGAGACTCCACCGTCAGGCAGTGGTTTGAGTACTTGATGCTTCACTTCCAGGTAGTTGATTCACAGTAATTTCAGGTGAAAGTTTATTATTTATATAACAGCTAAACTTGTTCCTTCTGTCATACTTTCAGATGCTAAGGAGATTAACCAGAATAGTCCGAAGCAAACTGGACCTTACATGATATGGGACAATGCAAAAAACATCTTGGTAACATACCGTGTCCATGGTCCTCCTCTTAGTTTTATCTACGTCCCAACCAGTGAGCTGCGTTACATTGCAAATGAAATTGACGGGTTGGTAGGTGGCACCAACACAGTTGTAGTTTTTAGCGTCTGGGCCCACTTCAGCCCTTTCCCAATTGAGCTCTACATCAGACGACTTCAGAGCATCCGCAGGGCGGTGATTCGTCTGTTGAACAGGGCTCCAGACACGCTGGTGGTCATCAGGACTGCAAACCTCAGAGGTTTAACACCTTCTGAATCGTTAAACTACAGTGACTGGTACACACTACAGCTGGACAAGGTGCTCAGAGCTGTGTTCAAAGGATTTAATGTTCGACTAGTGGACGCTTGGGAGATGACTCTGGCCCACCACCTGCCTCACAACATTCACCCAGGCCGTCCTATTGTTAAGAATATGATTGACATTCTCTTGTCCTACATATGCACCAAATAGGGCTAATAGATGTGCATTTGTTCAGAGAGAGTTAATATCTCAATCAATTAATCTTTATTTGTATAGAGCTAATTCATACCAAATGTTATCTCAAGACAATTTACCAAATAGTAGGTTAAAGGCCTTGCTCTTTGTTATCTCAAAAGACCCAGTATTAATCCATCACAAGAAACACAAGGAAATCGCCTCCTGAAACCAGAAATACAATATTGCATTGACTCCTGCTGCCATTTCCCTCTTCATCTGCCACGGAAAAGCTGCCCAAATCTGTTGAACAGAATAGCCAGGGCAGCTGTGGCTCAGTTGGTAGAGTCGTCGCCTCTCAACCGGAAGGTCGAGGTTGAGCAACATGTCTGATGTGTCCTTGGGCAAGACACTTGACCCTGAATTGCTCCTGCTGCTTCAGCGGCGGTGTATGAATGGGATTAGGTGGTGTAAAGTGTAGTGTAGTCGGAAGACTAGAAAAGTGCTATATAAGCTCATCTTACCATTGAAGATCAACCTTGCAACAATCACCAGGAAAGTGATCCCAGTGTAAGAGGCTTTTGTTGGGGCAGAAATAGTCAAGTGTTTGTTATGGTAACAACTGATAATTGTCCTGTTATCTGTTGTTAGCTGCTACATTTCTTTTATTGTTGCTGAACTGCTGTGTTCGCCTAACTGTGTGTTTTATTCACCGCTGTGCTAGCTTCCCATCAGAACGACCAGTGTACCCGCCGCTGAATCAAAGTCCGGCCACTGGCTTTCTGGTGTGTAAGTTATAGTTACTGAACTTATCTCAGAGAGTTCAAGAAGGCCGAGCCACACGGCTCCCTTTGTTCTTTGTCCACCATTTTATCCCCATGTGACATCACCACATGGCTTTTTCTCATTCTCACTCTAACTCTCTCTCACACACACACACACACACACACACACACACACACACACACAACTACACTTTTACACTTCTTCCACAAGCCTTGCATGATAATGTTTGTTTGCTTAGATTAGTTTATAATAGTTATTTTTTTGATTAAGTTCATCGATTTTGGGTTGATGTTGCTTTGTTTAAATAAATTCTGTTATAATTTTAAGAGAGCAGTTGTTTGTGATTACTGGTGTATTTACATTGTGATATAAGCTGGGTGCGAGGGCTTTGTGTACGGATTTCACGCCTTCAATTTATTAAATATAGTTATTAATTATTAATAATATTAGTAATTAAGTAACTAATTTGAGACTGATCTGAGTGATATTTTGGTTATATTTCCCTGATTACAGGGTGGTGCCCCAAACGAGATTAAACATAGTTTAATGATATTGTTATTTAATTATTAATAATTCTATATAAGTATTAAAGAATATAACCAAAGTTGACTTGATACAACCCCAACACTTTCTTGAGGAAGATGAAAAGTTAATCTGGCAAGGGGTCGAAAAAAAGAAGGATGGTTACAACGATGTATCAAACAAATGGACTAATTTAAACTAAAAGAGGATGGAAGATTTTTCAAATATACTGCCATGATCTCTACACAAGGGAAAAAAGTTACAGGATTGCAAGGGATTTAATATGTGGATGTCAGTGGACAAGAAAACATTGACCGCATCTTGACTTCACAAAGACAAGCCACTCTGCAATGCTCTTTTCATACCTAGAAATGTTACTCGCCTGTTTCCTGTTAACCTTATTAACTGTAAGATGTTTCATCAGCTGTTATTTAAAGCATTTTACAACTTTTATACTATTTTGTTGCCACTGTCCCAACTGTTTCAAACATGTCTTCACCATCAAATTTAACTACAATTGATTATTAAATGGAAAATGACTTCCCCTCCCAGTCTTTTCTGTGGTTAATTGATGCACCGTGCTCCGGCATCTGGCAAATATAGAAGCCTTGTAACTGCTACGGATTGCTCCGGACTGGCCGAGCTGAGACAGTGGAAGCTGGTGGAATTTGGCCGTCAGACACACTCTGGCTTAGCATTGAAAAAAGTTTTTGTTACTCCCCAACAGGCCTTAGCTTTCATAGACGTCCCATTAGGGGACATTCAAATGGTTAAATGGACCAGAGTCACACCAAATATGTGGACGAAAGTAAAAGCATCTTTTGGTTTGCAATCTCGGAACTAACTTACATTGAATTCATAAAGGGTTTTACTCCCTTCCATACAGATGCAGGATTTAGGAAATGATCAGAATATGAACTCACTAAGCTACAGCAACTCCACAGGGATAGAAGTCTAAAATTTGAACAGTTAAATAGGAATTCACACTTCCTAACACTGATTTCTTTATATATTTACAGTTCAGGACATTTTCCACTAAGCATAAAGAATGGAATAAAGTCTTATACCCACTTGAATTGAGGAGTTTCTGTTTATAGCATCATAAACAGAAACATGAAACTAACTGATGTTGTGATGGTTTTGGTACTCTTCATGAATTGATTTTCTCCCATTAAATGCTGTTCAGGCATCCTTTAGGAAAAAACTGAGCTCATCAATCAGTTTTAGCTCATCAAACATGTTTTTCCTTTTTTCAACAGGAACACTCAAAAACTCAAAGACTTTATATTATTATATTCAAAACTTAAATTTAAATGGATCTCTCCACCCCAATTGACATGTGAAAACTGGAAATGTGATTTTGAAAGGGGAAGAATTCTGATCGTTGTTTATGCACTACAAGATAAATAAATAAAAATGTTTTGCATTATAGAGTTGCATGATGTCCACTCTAGTGGACACTTCTGTAACTTCAGAATTACTATTAATAACAAAATTAAAAAAACATATTCAACATTTCATGTCTTAAGAAGTCACAGTGCAGAATCAATTGTCACATTTTAAGAGTATTTAAAGTCTAACTAAATCACATTTGACCTTTTAACTGCTTAATCATGTAAATACCTGTGATTCTTTTTTTTTATTGCATGCAGGGATGGCATCAAGTTTGTGTGCATGTCATGTATGCATTTTCCCTGCTGTCTCCAATGAGTATTTATTTAATTACTACTAGCAATAAAGTATCATTAAGATGTTATTTTCTGTGAAAATGTCATAACTTTAAAGACTTACACGGAAAACACAAGTTTTCCCAGTTTGAATCTTTAAGGAATATATTTTTTTTAAATGTATTTGTTAGGGACAGTGCATATTATTAAACAGCTGTAACAATTACAGCTGTAAAAAATTATAGCAGAAGTGCTAGTTTCCATCTGTTGTCCCTAGGCAGGTAACAGAGAAAGATAAAATACAAATACAAAGGCACGAGTGACACAAGACAATAATAGAGTTTAAAGGTGGTCACAGATTTGGTTTTCTTTTATCCACTGTTTGAGTTGCGTTTTGAAGGTTGCATATGTTTGTGAGTCTCTTATTGTGAGTGGGAGAATATTCCAATATTCAGTTCCTTTGACTGACAGAACAGTTTGTCCGAATGTAGTGCGTCTGTATGGGACCTCACAGTCTCCTCGGGCTGTGGCCCTGTTGCCGATCCCACTGGCAGACTTCAGCTTTATAAAGTCCTTCAAAGGAAGAGGAGCAAGTCCGTGCAAAGTTTTATATATAAAACATGCATTTTTAAAATGGACAAAATCATGAAAATTTAGTAAATTATGTTTATCTAAAACAGTGCAATGGTGAAATGAAAATGGCTTTTTGTCAAAGATTTTTATGGCCTTTTTAAAAAGAGATTGTATTGGTTTAAATGTTGTGCCAGCAGAAAGTGACCATGCGGTTATACAGTATTCAATATGTGAAAAATCATCGAGTGTAAAAACATTCGAGCAGCATTGATAGTCATGAAGGATCTTATCTGTCTAAAACTGTTTATATTAAAATTTACCGTCTTTGTTAATTGTTTGATGTGTTTTTTAAATGTTAATGTTGGGTCCAATGTTAGGCCTAAATATTTCAACTCATGAGCTAGACTAAGCTCTACACCTTCCAGGTAAACGCCGGACTGCTGAAGGCTGGTTGGCTGTTTAGTGAACATCATGCAGACCGTTTTCTTTGCGTTTAATTGAAGACATGAATCTTTGACCCAGCTTTGCATTTGGGTCATGGCTGTTGTTAAAATTTGTGAAACTTCATGGGTATTTCTGCCCTATGTAAAAACAACGGCATCGTCAGCATATATTTGAATGTTTACATTTTTACACACTTCCGGAAGGTCATTTATATAAATAGTAAATAAAATAGGTCCCAAAATACTGCCTTGTGGGACCCCTGTTGGACAGTCAAGGTAAGAGGATTTGGTGCCAGAGATGGACACGCATTGTTTTCTAATTGATAAGTATGATTCAAACCAGAGTAGAGCTTCCTGGGAAAAATTGTAACAAGTTAATTTTGACATAAGAACACTATGGTTGACGGTATCAAAAGCTTCTTGAGGTCCAGGAATACAGCACCTACACGGACATTCCTATCAAGAAGGCTTTTGATTTTTTTCAACAAAAATGCAGTTTGCAGACTCTATAGAATGTTGGTTACGAAAACCAAACCGCATCGGATGCCGGGGTGTGTGGCCACTTCTCTGCTATTTTGGAGATTACAGGTAGAATACTGATAGGTCGGTAATTTGCCATTTCTGTTTTATCACCAGATTTAAAAATTGGGATGATAACAGCAAGCTTCCACGCTGAGGGCACTACACTTTGTTTAAAGGATAAATTAAGCAAATGTGTAATTGGTAAAATTAATGATTCTTTATACAATTTAAAAAATGTGTGTCGAGTCCAGACACATCTTTGGATTTTGACCGTTTGAGGGATTTAATAATATTCATCACCTCTACTTCAGATATTTCCGCTATCTTAAAAGCCGCATAATTGGAATTAGGAAGGTTATGTATACAGTTGGGGGGGGTGAACTGTTGTGTTATCTCGTTAACCGAATTTATAAAGTATTTGTTCATTTCAGTGGCTATAGTTAAGGGATTTTGCACAGGTACGTTAAGTTCTATTTCAAAATTATCAGTGCCATTTTTAGGTTACCTACCAATTAGTTTATTAATATTTTGCCATATAACTTTGTTATTTCCTTTTGCATCTTCAATAATGGTCATGAAGAAATTTGCCTTCGCCCTCCGCATTGTGCTTATTACTTTATTTCTAATTGAAGTAAATCTCTGTTTGTCTGTGGTCAGACCTGATTTTAATGCTTTTTTAAGCAACATATCTCTGTCTTTCATTAGTTGTATGCATTCTTCATCTATCCAGGGCAGTGGATTCCTTTTATTTATTTTTTGTTTTCCCTTTCTCAGAAATGGTGACATTATTTAATTTAGTTTTAAACCAAATATACATCACAACCATTTTCTATATTTTCACTCATGAGAGTTTCACT